GTCACTCAGATCCTTAGCATCTATCTTACTAAAAACTAGACTGGCAATGCTAAGTTTTCAGTGTATCCCCTTATTGGTCCTTAATTTCAATAATGTAGAGCTGATTTCCTCCTCATTAGTGCTGGATCTTATTGTACAATAGAGGTAATAAATACATTATTTTTTCATTTAACAGCACAGAAAATCATATGCTTATTATCAAACTCAGTCCAGACCATATAACCCCAATGTTCCATATCCTGAAATCTTTAGTACCATTCTCTACTGAAAAAATTGAGATGGAAAGTGTTTTGACAACGTTTGACTAATGATTTTAAGTAACTTTTATTAAATATTTCTGAACTTTAATTTCTATAGAATACTTGGAAAAAGAATGTAATTTTTGAAATATCAATTCCATAACTTCTGAATTAGTGAAAGCACCCTAGGTAAAATTGGAGGCAGATTCACTCACTTCATAGAGTGAATGCATTCCCAGCCACCTCTTTTCAGCACAACAAGGCCCTCTCTACAAAAACTTCTACTCAAGATTAAAGACTAGACATGATGCTGCTTATCTGGACTCTTAAATGTATCAGCAGAAAAAGCAAAGTATATGAAAAAAGGAACAAAATCTGAGGTAGAGACAAGCTTGCAGACTTGCATTTACCAGTACTTTGAGAGCAGCCTCAGGCCCCTGCTCCAAGGGATTTTTCTGTCTGCTCTCAAGGCACCACAGGCACAGTGCACCTGCATAATCATGGTTTAGATTGTTGAGGAAAGAGTTGCATGAGAAAAAACTGGAAGAAGGGGCCGCTCGAACCCTCCTTTCTCAGAAGCTGCTTTCAATTCCCTGTTCTTTCACTTGATCCCTGCCAAGGGTCCTTGGCCATGCCTGGCCATGCACCCCAGTGATCCAGACTTGATCCTGACTCACTGACTTGCTTTCACAGCTTGGACATGCACTTGTCTGACCACCACAGATTTGTCTGGCAACCCCTGGACTGTTGGCTGACCCTCATTGCCATCACCAGACTTGCTGTCCTCTGCTTTGGGTTTTATGGAACTGGACCCTTTGTTAGTGCAATCATAGCCCTGCACCTGCCTTTGGTCACCCTTGGCTCCCATTTTTTTAGAGAACATCCTGCTCTTGCTGTTCTCAGACAAAATCTTCAAATGCTATAAGAAATCATAACCCACACACTCAAAAAATGAGAGAAAAAAAATAGAAGACAAACACAGTAAAGGATAAAAACCCTTTGCAGGTCACCTTAGGCATTGCTTTTTTGGCAGAAACCAATTTGAGTATTTATAGCCAAGTTAAAACCCATTCAAAGCGCAGGTCAAAATGGAAACACTGACCCTTGCCTACTGCAGGGCTAGTGATCATCACCCCTGTCTAAGTACTTGTAAGCTGCTTGCAATAAAAAAACCTCTTAGTTTCAGCCCTCCAAGTGTCAGCCCTCTGTACTGGTTAATATTATCGAGGGAATCCTTGCCTGACAGAAAGTAATTTAGGATCCATTAAATATGATTACTTGGCCTTGAAAATGATGGATATTGAACAGAATTATAGGATCACTTTACAAAAGAAAGGTCTCTTTTACATCCTTTCTTGTGGGGCATTAAATAAAGTCTGAGAAAACTCCTAAGGGATTTCTGGCATTTATGGGTTACATTTATGAAAAGAAGGATTGATATTCATATTAAAAACTCTAAAAATTTAACAGGGTGATGTGGTAAGCACATGGACAGCTGAGACATGTCTAAAAAGTGAGTGACATGTTCACCAACTGTTTTCGTTGTTTCAGTTATATTAGAGATATGAAAAGTGCCTTTAATTTCAGACTAATCTTTCATGTACTTTATTGGAATATTAACCCCAAGTGGTTTCCTAAGTTCCTCATACTTCTCACTACATCTCTGTTTTTAACTGAAGTATTTATGCCACAGGCTTTCAAAATTCTTAGGTCACTGTTTTCATCAATGTCCTTTCCTAGCCATATGTTGAAAGGGAACTGTATAGAGTTGTATAGAGACTTGATATGTTTGTCCTGCTTTAACCTGACTGAAATCTATTCCTACGAACATATTTTAGGTACACGGGAGATTTAACCTCTTCATTACTAAGTCATCTGCTTAAAGTTCAAAAATACAATGAAAATAGACAGTTTGATCTTCCTCATAACTAAAATTTTAAACTTTCAAAATATTTTTTTTTTCATTTTAATTTTTCCATGAGAAGGTGGACTGGCTGATTTATCCTACTGAGAAAGTAGGAAATGTGGCTCCCAAAAATAGAAAAAAAAATGGTTTTGGGAGGCTCCCCCTGAAAAAAAAATCCTTCTCAAGAATCAAGGGGACAAGGGAAAAAAAATAAAGAGAAGATAATAAGGAATAATTAGGTCTACTGCTGTGATCTTCCTCATCTCATTGTTTCCCCATAAGAAGCTGCCTTAGAAACCACAGCATCCTGAAATCCCAATCCTCACTCTGATTATTCTCTATAGATAATGGTTCAACTTACAAACAGAAATTTCAAACACTTTATACCTGAATCTTCATCATTAACCATAAGGGAGCAAATTCATCACGAAGACAAAATGCACATTCTTCATCTACTTCATAGCCATAAACACAACCACAGTTTGGGCACAGCACAAGGCATGGCCCGCTGACAAATCTTGGCTTGTGCACTTTCTGTTTTGAGATAAGGAGGAGGTTTAATATATCTTTGAGCTTCAAGCCAGAATTGTCAAGGAATTCCCTGCCAAACTGAGTTTTGATTGCAGTGTGTATGTTGAGCATATATTCAGACATTGCAAGACTGGATGTGTACTTTGAACCATTCGCATACACTGGCATTTAAATGTTAGGGTTTTTAAAAATATTAATATATCCACTCAATGACATTTAATCACCCCTCTGGTTTTTTAGATCTGACTGTATGAAGTGCACAATGGAAGCAAGTCCAACCCCTTCCAGAGGCAGCCTTTCTGCCACTCCATGTAATGTGGGAGCACTTGTACCTGTGTAAACATGGCACAATATTTTATGGGGCTACATACAGTGCTTTAATTTACACTGACAACAGCTGCTACATGCACAGAGCTGGGGAGATGTCAGGATATCTCAGCTTTTCCAGCAAAGTAGGTTAACTCTGAGCTGTTTTCTTTTAACTAGCAAAACAGCAACAATCAGCAGCTTCATGCCTCAGGCACACATCACATACAGACACATGGGTTTAAATTCCAGTTTTGCCAGTTACAGAGCACAGCAGTGAAGTGGGATTTTCCACATCCCCTATGAATGTCTTAGCTATTTGTTTGTTCAGGAAGAGGGGCATTCTCACTTTCCAGTTTCAGTCAGGAAAAACACACGCTTAACATGAGATAACTTCACCAAAAAAAGGTTGTGTTAAAACTGATAGATGGGTCAAAAATTAGTTTTATTGAATGAGTATTTTCTAATAAAAAGGTGGTTTCTTCAGGCAATTCTTGACTAGTTCCACTAATGTAAGCTTTGCACAAATTTTGGTGAATTTATAATACGTTAAAAAAATTAATTAAATTTATATAAAAATATTGCCTGAGGTATCACTATCATTTCATAATCCTCAGCAAGAAAACTGATGCAGCACTTAACCTCTCCCTTTTTGAAAGGAATTTATGGTTACATATCTGAGAATATTTAGAAACATACAAAGTTTCTTTTTTGTTTATTTTTTTTTCTAGTACATGGCTGGAATCCTCTTGGAGATAATGATACCTGAAAAGTTCTATCAGCTAAGCATAATAGGACATGTAGAGGAAGAACAAAGATATGTGGTTTTAAAGAACGGAGCACTAGTCAGCCTTTGATCATGATACTAAAAATCTTTATTAACTATGTTCCAATGTATGGAAGTGCACATAAAAATATATTTTTAATTATGCATAATCTAATTATTCCTCAGACAGCAATCTTAGGTAGCCAGACTAAGTCAGAAACACATTTTTAAGGTGGCAACCTAAACGCTGCCAAAACAGGAGTTCATAGTGGAAATGCTAACATAACCTTCACACTTCAAGTGCAAAGAGTATAATCAAATTTAAAAACTATTTTATCTCATCCATTACGTGTATTGTCACAAGCTGGTTATTCAACAGGAAAATAGATGATGACAGCCTGCAAGCAGAATAAATGAGGATCAATTTATGCTGTTTGTTGTATGTATTTTGTAAGTTTTAAGAACAAAATACATTACACATATTTCAGTCTTGTATTTTTTTTAATAAATACTGTTCACTGATGCTGAAGCAATCCAGCAAGTTGTGTTGCAGTATAGATTTTCTTATACATCTTTTCCTTCTCAGTACTAGAAGTGAATATAATGAAAAGTTACAGTACCCAGGCTGAAGAGAACATTTCATTCTGTGAGAGAGATTAGAAATGTGCTCTTTACTTCACCTGAGCGCATCAAAACAGTATCCTAAGTTTTGTAGTTTCATGCTCTTCCAGGGTTACATATACCTTTAAAATTTGCCAGGTTTTTTCTGAGGGTTAAATGATTTGTAACACCAGGGCTCATCATGCTGTAGCTGTGTGGACATATGTACCTAAACATCTTTCCTTTGCATTTCTGTGATTGCCCTGCACTGCAGTGTTTTAAAAACAGTGCTGAATGCCATAGTCATACATCACAATGTTCTGCTGTTACTGCATGCATTGCTGGATTTATGATGCTACGCACTATTGGACCCCGAACAGAAAATGACAGAATTTCAGACCAGGAATGAAATTAAACAGTTTCTATAACTTCTCTTGTTTCATTCTATAATTTTTCTTTTGCTGTTTTTCTTTCTGCTACGTACTGGCAGGTGGCCTAGAGATCTGTTATTCTTTATGGTGATTAATATAGATAGATTCCTGAACAAATGTCTGAAGTTGTCCTGGGACATTAGAACAAAGATGCTGAAGATATGAATGAAGACATGGCTCAGCAAATATTGAGTGAAACTGAGAGGAATCCTATGGTCCACTCAAACAAAAACATAGGATGGTGCAAGACTGTGAAGAGCAGTAAAGCCATTATGAATTGGCCAACATTGACTAGTGCTGATTAGCAGGTAATTACAGCTTTTTTGTTAACCAATCATTCATCTTGAAATTAAGATGTTTGTGACTACTGAGTGATCATCTTTTTCTCTAACTCATAAACCTAAACATAAGGGTAAAACATAAGAGGTTCTGTGGTCACTGGTTTTCCAGAAAGAACTATGGCAAGAAATGGGATTCATGGAACCATTTTCCTTTCCCTCCAGTTGTCAGAATTCAGTAACAGAAACAAAACCTTCTCTTTGGACTGGTGCTTTGGTTTCTAATCTTTTTATATATTGTATTGATCTCTTCCAGATGACTTTTAGGTCCTGGAATGGTTTACTTTATCTATTCATTGGTGGACCTTCTACAGGTTATAAAGTCTCATCTTTTTGAAGCTTTTAAGTTGTTACTATACAAAAGATGAATGGAAAAGATGTAGAAAAAAAGTACCATGTAAACTCAGAATTATAGGATGGTAAAATTCATTATAGGATGTGGCATGCTTTTGCTGGATCAAAGACAGACCCTACACAGTGAAGCACCTTCAGCTTTTGACTTACTGAAACAAGAGTTTTAATGGAAAGCTACCAAACTCAGACCACTGAGCCCAGGAAGTTGTTCATAGTATTATTTGCTTTCTGACTTAGGGTTAAAGCAAAAGTTGGAAACTAAAGAATGCATCAGGGTTTTCAGAATAACTGTGCAGTGGTGATCACACTGCAGGGCAGATGAAGTATCAGAGTGAGTTTTGAAGGCAAATGCATCATTCATCCAAACTGTTTGACTGTTTAAACCTTTCAGGGTTAGCTGTGGGCAGCACATTCAGTACAACTAGCAAGAAAGTGTCTTCTTCTTCTTCTGGCTAACTCAAGAAAGTACATTCGGTGAAGACATGTCCTGGAAATTCATGCCTAAGCCTAGCAGCTTACTTATGCCATCAGACTGTGTACTGATATCAGATGAATGATGTCAAGCAAAAAAAGTAGTTTGGACTTTGTCCTAGAAAGGACCCAACATAGGGCAAGGACGGACAGGGATGGTGAACAGATGAAATTCAGTTTGTCATAAATGGAAACACAACATAACATATGGTAAAAGGTAGACAATCTATGGAAGTAAGGGATGGGACTCTGAAAAATCAGCATTTCCTCTCTCTCCAATGAAAGGGGAAATAGACAGATGTAGGCTGTTATAGTTAAAGGTGTTACACTCTCATTACAGTTCTGGAGTAGTCAAGGAGACACAAGTAAATGTGTAGGCTGACATGAGTATCCACAATGCATTTTAATAACTAGAGGTCTTGGGGGGTGTGTAGAATTTACCAATGTTCTATTTTCTTGTTTTTATTACTCATGTTAAGGTAATTTAAAGCTGAAGTTGGAAGGGTAAAGCACTATGAGATAGAAAATATCTTTTACCTTAATATCCAATCCTTATGCAAGTAAATATCTAGCCTTAGAAGCCAAAAGTATATTTTTCTCCAAGCTAATTTTATCCTTCCTGCAATATGACTTTAGTTGACATTATGCAAATCTATTAAATTTCAGCATGTTTATTAAGTTATCAAATAATTTGATGATTTGACAATTTGATTTGTCAAGATTCTCTGCAGTGTAGATAAAACTAATTGTATTGACAGACAGAAGCTTTTGAGCAAGTCAATACAGGGGCACTGGAGTTTAAGAATGGAAAGGATTTCATAGTTCATCAAATCCAATTTCCTGGTGCCACAGGTGGTCAAGTGTCTCATGTTCTACTGCTGTGGTATTTGTGGAAAAATAAACATACAGCTTTCCTAATTGTCATACTTCAAGCCTTACAAGTTTTGCTGCCACTTAAGATTCTCAGTTTCCCTCTCTTTTCACCTACCTAGTGATCCATATTGAAAACTGAGGCAAAATATCCATTGCATTTTGAATCATGCATGGTTTATCTTCCATTCAGGGAACAGGGATGTCACTTAATGTTCTTTTAAATTTATGTGGACGAAGAACCTTTTCTTATCTATTTTTTTAAGATTTATAATGTTTGATTTTCAGTAAATCTTATTTCACCACTACACTTCGCATCACTGATGTTTAACTTTCCTTGCTGACCACTATTTGGTTTAATTAATTCTAATTTTGTGAAATTCACCCTTTCTTTTGAAATCAATAAACCTGAAGACTAAATTCTATTAAGCATCAGCTAATCAAAATGTTATCTGCATTAAAAGGTTGTTTTTATGACTAGCTGTTCTTTAGTGCACATACCACTTCAAAAATCAAATGTGAATCAGTTCTAAAATAGAATCAGCTCTATTTGATTCAGTAATCATTCGCTATTGTCTACCAAATCTAGGAATAACTGGTTCTGAATATTCTTATTGACACTATTCTCCCAGGGAATGACACTGAAACTGATCTGTCCAGCAGTAATTTTCACTGTTTTGTTCATAGCTCGTATATTTCTCCTTAACTAAAGCCTATAAACACAGGTCTCCTTAACACAGACCTATAAACAAGTTTAAATGTTAGATCCTGTTGTCTTTCAAACCTCCATCAGCTCCAACTACCTTTAATTTTGTCCCTAATGTCTCCAGTGATGGAGATCTCACAACATCTACCTCTTCCAGAGTTTTACCATTTTCAAAGCAAAAAAGTTGAGGATTTTTTTCCTCATATTTAGGGGGAGCACTGGATTTCAGTCTGTGCCTCCTGCCCTTGCAGTGGTGACCACTGAGAGGAGTCCAGCTCCAGCTTCTTCCCTCCCTGCCTCCCACTTTAAAATATATTTAAACACATTGATAAGATCCCTGCTAAGTCTTCTTTCTGAGGCTAAACAGCCACAGCTCTTTGAGCTTCTCTTTACAGAGCAGATGCTACTTAATCATCTTAGTGCCTTTTTGCTGGACTCATTCCAGTATTTCCAGCTCTACCTTCTACTGGGAAGGCCAGCAGTGGGCACAGTACTGAGCACATGTTTTGTTTTCTCCATATCTGTTTTTGTTTATGTTAATTTTACTAATTCCATGAAAGGAATGAATTTCCATTTAATGAAAGGTCATTTTCAGCTCTTGCATGCATACATATACCTTGGAATTACATTGCACAATTTAATGTTTCAGTGATGTAAGGAATACTTTATCACTCAGTGTCCACCTAAGCTAGCAAATGGCACTGGATGTGCAAAGTTAGAAACTCAAAACTCACACATTAGACACAGCAAGCGCAATTTTATATTGCATTTTGATTTTTCACTTCTATATCATCAGAAATGTCTTTTAAAATGAAACAAATGAATCTACAGGAAGGAGGTGAAGAGAAGGGGAACTTTCTATGGAGTATGTCAATCTGTAGATTAATTAATACATTGATTCTATTTGAGAGCCTGAATGTACCTGTCTTCCCACTGAGATACCCACTGTGCAATCAGTGGTAATTTAAAAATCAATTGCTCTTCTGTAGTAATTAGGTTTGTCCATTTAAACAGATAAAATTGATAGAGCCTGCAACTAATTTCAAAGCAGGGATTCTTAAGGGATTGAAGAGATTAAGAGCTGTGAGCCAGCAATTTGTGGGTTTTTCACTCAACAAATGAACATCTACATACACTGGTTTGTGTATAAGTTTCAAGTACATTATACCAGATAAGAAAATTATTTTGAAATATACTGCTAAACAAAGCATAATATATTGCTAGACAAAGCCAAAAAGTTAATGAAAGTGATTCATAAAGGCACTGAAATGTAATTATTCTTACATCTCATAGAATTAAGTGAGTAGAATGTGTTGTCTTTAAAATTACGTCATATTCTTTGGAAATGTCTCTTTCTTTTCCCTATGTTTTTGTAAGTCTAGCTGAATAACTTTTATTCTTCTCAAAAATTTCATTACAAGTTGTTTTCTGTTTTGAGCATACAGAGAGAATTTATGGCGCTCTTGACACACAGTGCTTAATCAAATACAATATGATACTTGCATGTGTAGAATACATATTTCTGAGATTCATTAAACAACTATCTTCCCTCAAGGCAATTCATTGTTATGCACCAGAGGGCTTTAAGATGGACTATTTAGGGAAAAAAAAAAAGGCAGAAAATAGGGCAAGAGAAAAAGGAAGAAACCTAAGACTAACATTAAATGCATATTCACAGTTTTAAAAGCCTTTGCAATTTACTGCAGCCCCGAGGTGGCATTAATTGACACATTAGCAAGTTATATACTGTGTTATGTGTCTATTTAGCCTATAACACAATAAAAATAACACCAGGGGAATCGCTGTAACACATTGCATATACAGCTTGTGTTTAAAGTAGGGAACACCTTACAAAAGCAGACAAGAGCAGATTAATGATAATGTGTTGCAGTTAACTCACAGACTGTCCCTGCAACGCATGTAATTGAATTGCCAACTGTCAGCTTGCAGAGGCATCTTCACAATATTTTAAGGCAAAATCTTATGCTTCCTAAAAATTAATGGGAACAGAAATTTATTTGAATGAGATCTGGCTTTCCATATCAATAGACTACAGCATATACCCACAAAAAGACTAATCACTCATTTTCTGTTAAAATTGAGACTGAGATGTTAATACCTACTCTAGATAGTGTGCCTTCTACAAGAAGTGGAGCAATATGCATTTAGAATAATAATGTAAAAGGATTACATAACTTATGTTCTTGTGTAAAATTTCCTTTCACGAATGAAGGAACACAGCATTTCAGGATCTTGAAATTCAGCACTAGCCAGTGAAACTATTCTATTGCACAATTTTTATTTAAGGAAAGTTTAGGAGTTATTTTTTCATTTATTTTTTACATTTCCTTTTCTTTGAAAAAAAACACTTAAAAAGGATCTTGCACATTACAATATAGCTATCACTACAGCTAATTCTGTAAAACCTCTCGAGTGCCAAGTTAGATAACAATCATGCAAATTGTTTCAATATGCTCCTGGTTTATTATCTGTTAAATGTAACCTTATCTAGATAAGTAAAACAAGGATAATGTGTATACAAAAGCATGCACATCCTGAATATTCTGCA